TGCGGTTTTCACACACCACACTGAACCAAAGCGAGGCATACGGGGCATATGAGGTTCAATTCTATCTTACGAGTCGAGAAATAGTAGCGATCCCGGAGAGGTAGGGAAGAAACAACCATCCGCAAGTAAAATAAGAGTAAGCCACAGAAATAGGATCAACCAAGAAAGAGAGAGAGGGAGAGACGAAACCAAAACGAACAAACAGGAAGCAGGAACATGTGCGGTTAAAATTTGAACAGCGTCATGCCACAGTCACCAAAAACGAGAGCGAAAAAATTTCATCAATCCTAGACGAGGAAACGCTTGCAACTCAAACTAAGATAAGGCCCGCGAAGTAAAAAAATGACAACTATATCCGACCATCATGAACCACATTTTAACAGATAATCATGACAGATGTATTTTTGTTTAAATTGTGAAAGGATAAGTAGGCTCCGTGGTACCTGAACACCTGTATGGAAGCCGGTTATTACCTCCGTTCCGCATGCACTCAATGAACTGAACTCTAAGAGATGGAAAGCTCCGATATTTATCTCCATTTACCCAGTCAATCAGCTTACGGAGACAGCGNTCAGCTCACTTTAGTTTTTACACCATACAGATTTGCATGTGTTTTCGGTTTTGACAGGCCTTCATTCATTCATTCAATCAATTAATCAAACGGAATCTTTCGATAAATTTGAGGATAGCATACCAACTTCCTCGGATAGCACAAAGGTTTCATTCGAAGAAGACTTAGCTATTGTCACATTGTTATAAGTTATGTCCATACATGAGTGGTAGACTGGAAGGTTATGTGGAAAGAATACACCGAGCGTAAGCTTAAAAAACAATCACTCAGTTCTATCTGGGGATCAGTGAATAAATACCGACCATATTTCAGTGTATCGCGATTCAGGTACATGAGCGTTTTGACCCAATCATCAGAGCTAAAAGGTCGCCGTCCCCATATGCATCATTAAACCTACCTGTCCAGCACTGGTTACAACTCACCATCTCGATTTGACCACCATATCTGCCGCGGAGTGCACCGACTTGGCCGTTTCGGCAAAGCAATAAAAAAACACCATTTCTTTCCCTGTCTTTTCAGTCGGTAGCCCACATTCAGGCGTTTTCGGTTGATAATACCAAACTGCGCCCGCGTGCTACCATCGGTACGCACTTATACAGTCATGACTACCGTTTCCATGCTACCGGCTTCATGGGAAGCGTGTTCATACTGGTGTAAACAAGATGTGAATCGTTAACTGTACGCCTAACTCAGTTAAACAAAGGTTACCTCCATGCCATGGACGGTGTTGTGACTAGTTGTTGGAACGTTGAGAATAGACAACTTGACACTGGAGAGGCATACCACGATAACTACGCGTAAGCTACGCATGGACACTGAGAGGCACACCAACTATTCGCGACATTGTCAGTAAACTGGGGTGTTTCATTCCGAGCTGATGAAAGTGGTCGTGATTTTGACGGCAATGATAACGACATAGGCAGAAAAGATAACCTCTCGCATATCCGTAATGTTGTGAGGAAAACAGAGATTCTATGCATGACAGAAATAATGCGCCCAAGTCACAAAGATGAACACACACCATGTAACAACGTTTGAGAAAGAAAGAAAGAAGGGACAGACAAGATTCCCATAAGAAACGTATTCTTTGTGATTTTACCGATTGAAACACAACGTCTGCTACTATACCTACTCCCTTTACTTCTGCCATGTTTTTGTGAAGGGTTCTCCCGCAGCAGTCCACAAGAAGAAGATCATAAATTGACAGTGTGCATTCATTGTTCTTCTGCAGCGAACTCCGTTATTTTCATCCGATGGCGATATCCCATAATGGAAGCTATGATAACTGGAGCATGTGCTGCGCATGTCACATCGGATATGATCCCTCACGGAAAAGTGTGTGAACTGGTTGACATATAAGAATTCCCCATCCTCCGCTTGAATTTGCTTTCAACATTCCAATCTCCATTCTGCTCTTTTATCCAAATGGGGCACCAAAAGACAGCAACCAAAACTGGCGCATGAAAGTGCATGGTTAATGATTTTAAAAACTGAACTGAACTGGTTGACGTGAGTGAAGGGGGACCATTTGCTGAGAAATAGATCCTGTAATGTGGGTCGCGTTAGGCACCTTGGTTGATGTATCGGGAACAGACCAACTGATAGCTGCAAGTACCGGATGGCAATATTGAGTATCGGAAACAGGGACGCTGGTGCATCAGCTTACATCATTTGCACATGAGTTTCTCTTATTTCGTATCCTTGTTCTGCCTTTTTATTAATTATGCTGAGAAAAGGAAATGTCCAGGGGTGAAACTTGAGCACGGATATACGAAGTGAATTAGCAGTTGTATGTAAAGTGAAAGAAAGTGAAATGGAACTGTTTAACCACACACGTATGAGCGTTTTGCTAATAAGGAATAAAATGACAGTAATAATGAAACAAATCGACCGATAACACTTACCGACTGGGGATACATTTTTGACTCTGTCCCATCTGACCCCGGACAAACATTGATAGGTGAGGGACAACGTTGTTGACTCGGTCGGGGTGCCGTTCCGGCGGATGAGTTGTTGCTAGTCCACGTGCTATTCGATGCGGAGACAGACGATTGCAAACTCAGTTGCGAGCAGTAGCCCGGAGTTCGACGCAAGCTCATGGCATCAAAACTGCTTAGCGTTCCCGCCTTGCCGAATCGCATGACGGATCGGACATCCGATAATTTTCGTTCCCGGGAGGCAGACATTTGATTGACGGCTTCTTCGACCGCTTGTTCCGTGTCACTGGATAGCTCATTCGGGTCGTACACTTGTTTTGAAATCGCTGCAATGCATTCGTCAATCGGTCCGACATCATTGAATATGGCTGTCTGTGATTCCTGTACCAGGGTCGGAGAAGAGTGTTTCACTAGCAGCGATTGGAATGTGATGTTCGACAAGACATAGTGAACGATGATTGTATTGAGTCCGTAGTGTTTCAGTTCAAAAATAAGTAACTGGTGCATTATATAATAAGCAGACACTGTTTCACGAAAATAACGAAATCAGACAATAAAAAACCTTAGCGCTAATGGGCCTTGCCACATGATCACAATTATTACAAACATCTAATAAGTAGATTAGTTTTTTCACACTGATAATTGATGCGCAGCTAAAAGAAAAACAGTTTGGTTTAAGGAAACTACTGCGTACCGGTAAACTATATCTTTTGGGACTTCCAAAAGCAGATGGGAATTACAACTTAGGGTGATGATGAAGTGACTTGGAAAAAAGCAGACTGAGAGTGATCACGATAAACTACACGTCCTTAACAGCCGGTGAGCTGGTCAAAGCCATCAAAGTTTGCCAGCCAGTAGTGAAGCTGTTTAGTCTAGGGATATGATGGAATTCAAGCAAGACGAATTGCAAACCTCCACACATATGCCTCCGAAAGCATCAGTACGGTCGGGGATGGGTGTCCCGGGATGTGGCTCATCACCCTTTTCTCGCACATCGCGAAATGCTCCTATACAACCAAGCGTCTCGAATAGCCTCTGTTGAGGAAGCGCTACTCACTGCATTCTCGTGGCGGAGGTATTTTCCCAACAAAGTGAGAGGACGAAGAGCCGACATCTGGGGCTATAACCGGGTTGGTGGACCACTGATAGTTCACTTAGGAGAGTTGGCCAAAAACCTTAATTCCAAACCAACCAAGATGAGACGTACGAACCACACACACACACACACACACACACACACACACACGCATACGCACACAACTTTCTGGTTTTGGTAGTGGTCACCGACTCAATTGGACATCGAGGTGTATTGGGCACTTTGGACGCCAAAGGGTGTATGATTCGATGAAATGGACACCGGCATCCAATGGATTGCGATTTTCACACACCGCCCGGCTGCCCCGCGGGTAAAACTTAGGATGGTCAAAGGCTCCGGTTGTGTACTCCTTAAGAAAATTCATCTGCATTGACCTGGGCAACCTGGCAGTATTAATCCCATATGCAAATCGTGGAACCTTTTACTTTTTTACAAATATTATTGTACCATGACTTAATTGGCACACAGTTTGGCCTCAGACGTGTGTGAAATATGAAATATGGTACAAATACACACACAACCCCGATCACCACAAACCCTAGATTTATCGAACAGCAGCAACAATCACGGAGGATGCATTCAGCCATTCATGGATCAATCATAATTCGAAACAGAGCAGCCAAATTGCTCAGCCGTGTGACTTCCGTTTTCATGTATCTACTTCATAAACACACATCGACATAACGGCAGGCGTCATAGCAGCCCTTCGAAAGTCAACACAGCACAATGAAGACAGGGAAATTTCCATGAGGCCGTAAGTGACCAAGACGAGAACTGATCAGTGAATAAGTTCAAGTGAGCATAGTGATACGGACCGGGTAGATGGGCTTTAATTGGCGATAAACCAGCTGTTCACGTTCCCCACTCTTGCAGTCGGTCACCTCGTTGAAGCGAGGAAATTTTTATCTGAAGCTTTAGGTAACTGGCTGATATTTATTTAAATACTTCCATATTCCCGTAATACCAGTGAGCTAAGAGACAACCACGTTTTATTTGACGCTGATTCTGACATGAGTGCACGAGGCAGACCCGAACAACATTCATGTGTACACGTCACGCTTCTCATGGGCAAAACAAAGTGTGGCGAGGACACGTTGATAGAAACTATGCACACAACCAACACAAACACGCGAGAATCAGCATGGCGCGGAACGATCTAGGAAAAGAACAAGAGTGACGGAGTTGTTCGCAGTGACCAGGTATCTAAATACACTAGATCGAACCGACACCAACGAGACCACATGTACGGAAAACAAACAGACATAACTTCGCAACAAGTGTGCAGTTCACTGAATCCGGACGAAGTGGCCACAAAGAGGGCGGCGCCGAGAATTGCCTAGTATTTGACCTCGGTTGCAAAATGCGTTATGCGAACGTGCATAAGTGAATTGAAACTACGAATGTACGACATGAAGTGGAAACTCGTCAACAGATTTTCAAGTTCAACCAGAGTGGATTGATTCGAATCAGTTTCATTCGGAGATTACAGTACACAATAGCGGGAAGAAAACAGCGAGAACCGATTCAGTTTTTTCTTTCTATTCAGATAAAGCGTTTGCGAGATATTGCATCGAGCACAAAACCGGAGAATATTGTGGACAGTCAATTGGCTGTCATCTGTTGCAGTTTGATCGATGGATCAGGTGAGTCACCAGGTCAGGGTCAGACTGCTGAGTGGAAAGTTTAGCTATGGTTCATTTGAACTTTTATGGGGGGGAACTATGACAAATGGCTAGCTATGTTCGCAACCCACAAGCCCATTCACTACCCTCCTACTCCCACCCACCCTCCGTCAGTTTCAGTTTTAAACCCATTAACCATGCACTTTCGTGCGCCGGTTTTTGTTGCCCATTTGGATAAAAAAAAAGTAGAATGAACATTAGAACGTTGACAGCAGATTCAAGCGGAAGATAGCGCATTTACCCAGAGTGAAGTTACGAGAATTATGAGCAGATGCATGAGCGCCACCGTTTGCGACACCCAGCCATATTGCTGTGTCTCAGTGTCTAACCTTCGGTGGCCATAATCTCGGGGTCCCCAGCCAGGGCACCTAACGGGACCAGTCTCCTGGTCAGGGTTTTTATAACCTCATGCCAGGTCTTAGTTTGACCGCCCTTGATTTTTTCCAACCTCTACCTGCTTCGGCAAACATCACTCGCCGTGGCAACCTATCCGTCGCGAATCATCTGCGCATCTGGAGAGGGAAGTTGCTTTACGATGATCCAAATGCACATCAGCGGTAATAGATAGTGGTTTGCGAATTCATTGGCACCCGCTGTAGACAGATTGCTGATCCAGGTTCTCAATATCAGTTTTGACGGCGCTGATCCGCATTTTCGGCTTGTCAATCATCCTGTGTAAGGAGATGGATGAGCACTGTGTTTCGAAAGTTTCGTTTATGGCCGCCGGACATGTGAACTAAACCAATGAAGGCGAATGAGTTTGAAAAACGATGACAGTTTCAGTATTTCGAAGCAGTGTTCTCCAACAGCTGATGGAGATTCGATGTGACCGAAAAAAGTTGAAGATTGAGAGCAGAAAAGATGTTGTATATCCCTGGTACTCACTGAACTTTGTCAGGTCATGTGAGTGGGGGTCAGATGGTGGCCTAAAAAATATTCATTTTGTTGAGAAGGCTAATTTTCCTCGTGTTCACAATGTCTTATAAAGATACCATAGTTCGATTTCGCTTGCTCGTTAAAAGCCCTGACAACGTCACCTCGGCTGGTGATGAAACGTTTGCAAACAAACTGCCACGCTCGGCGAACAGGCGAAATGGAATTCAGTTCACCCGAGAGACGAGATCCGATCTTCAGTTCTTTGTCAAGCTATCAGAATGCTCACCTGCTCACCTATGAGAAATTTCATTTTCAGTTGTTTCTTTACGTGAAACCGCAGTATATAAAGGACTTCAACGGTTGGATTGGGTCCCCACAGATACACTTTGGATGCTTTAGGGGAGTCGGGGTGGTGAAAAGTAGCTTGGTTTTTAAAGTGATGATTTGCATTATAATGTCATTTGCAACATCCTTACGTAGAAGGGCTCTCGCCGAACAAAATCATACCGTCCGCAAATACAAAATCCACAATCCGGGCACAATAAAGCCAGAGCATGTTGTATTACCCAATCGGTGGCAAATTTAAAAATCACCAGTGAAAGACGACAGCTCAGTCGGACGATTGTGTTTAAATGAAATGATTCCGATTCCACTCCGTAATCTACAAAAAGAAACCACTTCATTCTTTAGGACCTGATGTGAGTTGTGCTCCATCAATGGATCGGATAAAATGTATTATACTTCTGAACAAAGTATGTGTCCCGGTCTGACAGTGGGCTGATATAGCATTGGAATACATGCGTCTGGGTTAGAAAATTCCCTGGGTGCCCAATAGTACGAATCAGGTTTGCGTTGTAACACTAAAGGTCAGAGGTCATGACGACAAGGTGATTAATACGAAGCGCCAACAGAACCCAACCAGTAGCAACCATTGTATGCAAAAGGATGAATGTGACGGGTGCATGTGCGCTGATGACAGCATTTCAGAGCAGTCAACCATAGCGCGTTGAAGAAAACATATGAGAAATCAACGACCAACTACTATTATTTAAAACACGTTGAACACATTTACCGGTAGTGAATTACTAAAGACAATGGTCCTGTTCTTTGCTCAGATTAAAACAAAGTACATCAAATGCATTTCTTTTTTATCGTGGTATTTCTAGATTCATTCTGAAAGTCATCATACATACATACACACAATAATGAACATGACCGGAAGAGCTTGCAAGTTTTGTAAATCTATTTCCACTTTGTTTCCGTCTGATCCACGGTGCGAATCTATCTCATTGCCTGCGATCGCATCAGCATGACCGAGGGTGAGGGTCGCGGTGTGCGGCTGGTGACTCCACCCTTACATTTCGCGAAATGCTCCCATGCGACCAAGTGTCTCTAACCGCCTCTGCCGAGGAAGCGCTATTAACTGCATTCTCGTGGCGGAGGTATTTTCCTAACAAAGTGAGAGGACGAAGAGCCGACTTCTGGGGCTATAACCGGGTTGGTGGACCACTGGTAGTTCACCTAGGGGAGTTGGCCAAAAACCCTGATTCAAAACCAACCATGAAGAGGTGTACGAACCTCACACACAAATTCCTGGTTCTGGCAGTGGTCATCGAAGTTTACTGGGCACCTTTGGACGTTTGACCCCGTCCAAAGAGTGTATGATCCGATGAAATGGACACCGACTCACCGTGGATTGCGGCTTTCACATACCGCCCCGCTGGTTA